AAATCAGTTTTACAGTAATAATGATGATTATTACGTAGATCAGTTTTATTGTAATAATTATGATATTACTTAAATCAGTTTTATTGTAATAATGTATGATATTACTTAGATCAGTTTTATTGTAATAATTATGATATTACTTAGATCAGTTTTATTGTAATAATTATGATATTACTTAAATCAATTTTATTGTAATAATTGTGATATTACTTAAATCAGTTTTATTGTAATAATTATGATATTACTTAGATTATTATGTTAATAAAAATAATTAAATCACTAAGAAATTCGGTTTAGACAACACCTTTCCTGTTGACTAGTGTGGATAGTTGAAACTATAACACCTAATTAATTTAAATAACAAACTATGCTATCTTCAATATTTTTAGAAAAACTAATTATGTGTTTTAATAGTATATATATATATAAGAAAAGAAACAATTTATTATCAGGTTTTAGGTTTCTATTTGTTTTTCTTTCAGGAATTCCTCTTATTCTGGTTGGTACATGGACCGCTGTGATGGCTACGTTTCACTCAGAAACTGTGTACGCTGGTTTCTTATTGGTCTAAGATATTTTGACTAAGATACTTTGCACTAACTATTTACGTGTAAGATACTATCATCAGTATATAAATGTATTTTCCAGAAAACTTAAGATGTTCATGTAAAGTACTGTCTCTGAATTAATGTCTCTCGTATTGTCGTGATCTAGTGGTTACCTTGCTGGGCTGCAGATTCAAGGTCCATAGTTCGAGCCCTGGGTTTCACGCTATAATCGTGAAATTTCATCATTCAGTTAAGAATAAAAGAGTGGGCGGTTGGTGTTGTGTATTTATTTCCTTCTGGTCAGCAATTTTAAGTTAGAAGGTTTAGAGACGTCTGAGTTAACCCTTTAGCCAGTGTGTGTGACGTAAATCAACTCTTGAATTAGAAATACTAAATACCGAAAACGTCAACCCCGTGGTGATAATGCTAATTTAATCAAAATATTTTTTATTTATTGTTTTATTTAACAGTTCGATAAGTCTGGAACTGTTGTATAATTGTCATTACTTACAACTACTTCTTGAGAGAATTAAATACGAGAAACTTGAAAATCGTCTTTAATTTTTCAGATGTTGGTGGGGTTATCCCTTTAACTCTTATTTCTGGATCCTGGAAGGACCCCGAATTTTTTGTATTTTGGTAAGTGATTAATAAAGTATAAGATAACCCGTTTCAGAAAGGAATTGTAAAATTCCCTTCCAAAGTAAAATAAAATGACCTGTAACAGAAATTAACAGTAAAAATGTGTCCAATGAGTCAGTTTGGTTAGAATAATCCTTCTGCTTGAAAGAGTGACAGTTAGGCTACGGAGCTTAAGATATTTAATTAAAATGAACAGCGAATTTGTTATTTATCTAACGTACTGTTTTCACTGACACTCTTGCACTAACGCGGTATTCACATCTTGTTCCAAGCTCAACAGTTATGTAACTGAAAGGTTAAACTATTTAAAAAATAAGTTTCATAACATTGATAAGCTGTTGTTGCTTCAGAAGCAGATTTTGACATTTATAATTAGAAGGTTACTTGTACTAACTGTAAATGTTGTGGTGGTGGTGACACCGTTTGATCACGTAACACCTCCCCCACGAAGAACTGTCTAACAGAAATCTCCGACGAAGTATTAGCCGATAGGAAATTAGAATTTCTTAAAAATGATTACTTTTTCGCGCATTAATGATGGTGTAGGAAATTGTGTCGTAGCGTTACCTAGCAACAGATTTATATGTTCTGGTGGGTGAAAATTGCTTTCCGTACAATACATGCGAGAGAGTTGACGCCAACACTTTTTTAATTCGTTTTTTTTTCACTTTCCATTCGTCTGAAGTGAGTCTATCGAAAAATGAGGTGGCATAATATGTGAATTCTTGTACCAAATACAGGATTTCTCAATTAATTTTTATTCGTGTAAAGGAAGTTAAATATTCGAAAAACTCACTCTACTCAGAAAGCCCTCGTGCTCTATGAAAACTTCAAAACGGATATTCGCCACTTCACGGTTGTGTAACTAATGCACCAACTTAAGTTAAAACCGTTACGTTACTACTAAACTCTTTAATTTTACAGCCTTTATTTAGATAGGCCAAGGCATTGTTGTTGTTTACAATATGTCATTCGTGTATGTTTGGAGGATTAAGTCCCTTCAAATACCACACTTTGAGAACATTTTGTGAGTCTACAAAGTCGAATAAAAGCCAGTATATCTTATTTAACAATCAAAGATTAGGCCGGTGTTATTTTGTAAACAACAACCTTAACTGACTACTGGTGACACAGTTTGGTTTAATATCCTCAACAGTAACTGACTACTGGTGACACAGTCTGGTTTAATATCCTCCATAGTAACTGACTGCTGGCGACACAGTTTGGTTTAATATCCTCCACAGTAACTGACTACTGGCGACACAGTTTGGTTTAATATCCTCCACAGTAACTGACTACTGGCGACACAGTTTGGTTTAATATCCTCAACAGTCAC